TCTATGGTCAGAAAAAGTCTGAGCATTCTTCCTTCTTATATTAGATTATAATGACTGTGCTGAAGGAAAGTTCTTGGACTTGCTTTCAGATTGTCTTGGCTTATTTCATCAGCTATAACTCTTAGGAAGGAAAGAACCATGGAAAATGCTATTTTCCAGAATATCTGATTTCATCTCAACCCAGATATAAACATTCAGAACATGAAAGATGAATACTCAAAAATATTAGCTGATAGCCCATCTTTTAAAACTTTACAATGATTCCAGTAATTCTACTTATTGATTAAAGCTTTTTATGGATATTTAAGGCTTAAGAGGTACTTGTTGCATTAGCTAGAGGGAGGGAAGGAGAGGAACTTATTCAACTGCACACTCCAAATCAACCTTAAAGATTCTAAGTAATGTTGTACTTAATTCTTCTTGAATTGCAGTGGGAGCTGGGGCATGTTATCAGGTACATTTTGTCTTTGAAAAGCTTTTCTTTTGTAGAAGAATCATTCAGATAGAACATTTTGCAAATTACCAAGTTTCAAAAGAAATGTAATTTCAAGATACTTGGGAATGAAATAGACTTCAGCTGCTTCCTTTGACAAATACACTCTTTTGTTGACATTAGGTAGCATGTCTGCCAGGCAAACACTATCTGCCAATGTGTTTCCTATAGATGCTAACATATATGTAGTCCTATTATACAGTGAAAATAATAGCCTGCATTTGAATCAGGCTTTATGTTGACAAAATACTGAACACACACTGTTTCAAGTCAGATCAAAACTATTTTATCTATATTGATTAGACATTATTTTTATCAATATCTATCTCTCAGAATAGAATATAAGTTCCTTGAACAAAAAAAAAATACTTTAATTTTTGCCTTTGTTTCCCTGGAATCTAGTGTACCTCTTGGCACATATTGGCTGCTTTATAAAATGCTTGTTGATTGAACTACATAAACTATGTAGCATAAAGTACTATGTTAATGCAGCTAGGTGACATAGTGAATAAGGGATTTCTTTATCAAGTACTGTGTTTCCTTGGATGAGGGTGTGACTGCAGGAATTTCTATGTTGTTTGAGATAGATTGAATTTATAAATTTAAATATAAACTGAAATTATAAATTTATAAACTGCAGGTCAGAGTTCATTATTCCTTAGTACACTTTAAATTTCTTAATGACACACCTAGGTAGGAGATGAGTTCAACACTCTAGCCTCAGACACTTAGAAACTATGTGACCCTGGGCAACTCACCTTGCCTCAGTTTCCTCAACTCTAAAACGGGGATAATAATATCACCTACCTCCCAAGATTGCTGTGAGGATCAAATGAGATATATGTAAGAAAAAAGGTGTTTACCACAGAGTCTGCATATAGTAAGCACTTAATAAATGCTTATTCCCTTTCTCTATTTCATGCTCATTCTTGCTATCACTGCTTCTGACAGTAATAGTAATAATGATACTGCTTCATTGTAGCCCAGGATATGCCCTTATATTTGCACGTTTTGTAAAATTAACATTGCTAAACATATGGAAAGTCAGACAAATTCAAATTTTAGAGAGGGTAGCTTCATAGGATTAATAGCATTAAGGCTGCTGAGACCTTAGAAGTCATTTGGCCCAGTCCTCTTGGTTTGCAGATGAGAAACCCAAAATTCATAAAAGTTAAGTGATTTGCCTAAAGTTACATTGACACTACATAACAAAGTCAAAATTCAAACACAGGTCTTCTAACTTCAAATCCAACATGCTTTCCACCATATTATTTCTGCCAATGCTCGATTTGAAGAAAAATAACATATATGAACTATTATTTCTCCTATTTAGCTTTGAAAAGTATATAACACCCATAGAATGCTTACAGAGAACACAGTACAAGTGGAAGTCTCTTGAGTATATCTAAGCAGTGCCAGGGTGGTTCCATATAGTTCAATGTGTCCTAGATTGGGAGTTAGAGGAACTAGATTCAAATCCCACTTTTGCTATGTATTAGGGATAGGCCCCTGGACACATCATTGGGCCTCAGCTTTTCATGAATTAAAAGGAGGAAATTGGCCTCATGAAGACAGTGTATTTTTTGCATCAGGCTAAATACAATGAGCTGTCTAATTTAAAGATCCAATTCCCCATTTTTGTGCCATTCAGATCATTGGTGCTTTGGGTCTGTTGATCGCTTAATAGTGTTGTTTGCTTTGGTTCATTTTATGAAGAGTTATTAGGAAACTTTTTTTCTTTTAGGAAGCTTTTTTCAGATGATTTTAATTCTCTTCCTAAATAATTTGGTGAAATAACTTTTTAAAATTTTCAGTGAGTATATATAGCATACCATTTAAAGGATGGTGTCACCTGCCTGGCTAATGCTTTAAACATGTGCTTGGTTTAGAAGCATCATCTATTTTATAAACCATCCTTGAAATCCCTAAAGTAAAGCTGTGCACATTTGGTATTTTTGATTTTGTATTTTGTATTATTGATTCCCATTTAGCCCATAAGACAAGTTTTATGAAAGCTTCTTTTCAGAAGCTGAGATGTTTTGGGGCTCACTATCTCTTACAAATACCTTTTCCCATTTTTTTTGTAGTCAGTCTCTCCCAAAGAAGGGCAAAAAGATGAAAGGAGTAAAAGAAAATGGGTTAGAAACATATAATGACAGAGCTATAAAGGATCTTAGAGCCCACATAGTGCAGTCCCTTGGTTTTAAAGATGAGGAAAATAGGGCCTAGAAGAGTGAATTGACTTAACCAAGATTATGACTAGTTAATGGCAGAACTGGGATTTGAACTCTGGATTACTCTGAAACAAAATCTGTAGCAATTTCACAAAGATAATGGCTTATATATAACTGTATATATATATATATATATATATATATATGTATATTTGTGCACATATACATATATACATGCAAATAATAAACCATTAGAGACCATGCCTTATTATTATCTTGTATCCCTGCGACATCCAGTCCAATGCTAAATACTAAATACATACGATTGATTGCACAGTAAAGCCTCATATCCCATTGGTCGTGATAGCGGTAGTTGATCCACACAGTATTTCTGCAGACCAATGCAAGAAGAATATGATTATCTTCTAAGTTCTAGGGGCTGCTTAGGGAAGCTGGAAACCAGAGATGGGGAAGTAGAGATTCTTCATGTGCCAAAATGGATCTATAGTTATGGTGGTTTGTACTCTGAGGGTTATCAACTAAAATGTTACTCTAATGTAGAGGCTTTCCTTGCAAAATTATTTATATGGGAAAGATATGTGCTTCTTATGTTTGGGTAAAATATGCAACAAGGGAGGTGATGAAAAAAGAAGTAAGTGAATCAATAGTAAGGAAAAGAGGTATCTTGAGATTACATGACCTATATCTACCAAAAATCCATATATTCCATAAAGAAAATGAAGAAATAGTGAAACTGTCATCATGAAGTCCATAGAGGTGTTTAAGTGAGTAAATAAATCCTTCCTTCACTTTCATGATTTCTCCTCTTCCTGGAAGACTGAAGCTGCATCTCAATGTTAATGTTAGTCATTTTTCTTTATTTGATACCATGTAAATTAAACTGTCCCCAGAGAGTAATACCAACACTTCAACCAGTGGTTTTTGTTGTGCAGACAGAGAGCAGGGCGATAAACAATGAATGGCCAGACCACATTAATATATTTGCAAATTTAAGAGAAAGCAAGTATGGTTTTTAGCATGTTGATTAGACACCCTCACCCAGTAGTGAACTTATAGAAATAATATGTTTAAAATTCAAAAGGCAGACATAGGTTGATTATAATATGCACAGTTAAAAGGAATTCTTATGTAGTTTAGAGTCCATGAGTATTTGAGAGACACCACTTAAGCCAAGGCTATATTTACCATTTGTTGATCTTTATATTGGTGAACTGGCTTAAAGCATAATACAAAATGAATATAAATATTAAGAGAAGAGAGTGAAGTACAGTGTGAAACTTGTAGTACACATTTCATGCTTTTTTTTAACGTTGGGATCCTCCAATATTTTTTCTAAAGTAAAGAAAATTTCTCTCAAAAATGGCAATCATTTCTCTTTGATGTTTGACCACTGCCACCAAAAACAGTCTTTCTATGCTAGCTGCCAATCTTCCTTATTTTTATAATGAATTCAAGCTATTGATTGCATGAGCTTTTCAGAAATGGTTCCAAATTATAAATCTGTCCTAGAATAAGTAGACAAGGCTTTTTATCCTGCTACACAGGATGATTAGCTTCTGATTTTGAAAGTGAACCTTCCTTTGGGTTAGGTGACTTATCCTGAGTTTGTTGCCCAAGCCATGCAATTTATGTCACTTTGATGCTAAGACTGGAGAATCTGTCTCCTTATTTCCAAGAAGAAGCACCTTAGCTGGATTACTACTTAAAGTTAACAACTCTTGACTTCTGAGATCCACAACTACAGTCACAAGAATGGTTAGAGAGGAGTAATTTCTGTTGCCAGATTTAATCAGGAATTTCATACTCCTCCTTTCTACTCTTGTGAATACAAAGGAATCTTTCAGAATCTTGAAAATGTATCAACCTTTTCAAATAAGCCAATGCCTTGTCATTGAAATTGTAGTCAGTTCCTGAAAAGGAGCTGTCCGTGGTTGTTCCAGCAAATTAATAGTTTCTTTCCTTCTTCCCACCTCCACCCTCATGGGGTTTCTTGGGGAAAGTTAGCAATTAAACCACTGTCTGGGGAACTCACAGATTCTTTATTTGGGGGAATAAAAGCAAACCATCTACCAAGAAACCCCTCCTTCAATAAGTTAAAAATATTATGTCAGCGGCTCAAATCACTCAACATTGAATAGAAATATATATAGTTTGACACTGAGAATATGTGTGCCTTCTGACTACCTTCATAATTCAATATCTATTCATTTTAATGGCTCCAGTGTTTTTATTATCACCAATTTAAATGTATCTGTCTACAATCTTAATTCAATGTTATCAGATTTAATTTTGTTTTTGTTTTTGTTTTTCAGCTTTCTCCTTGTCTTTGGTTGCTTGATTTTGTCAGTGTTTTCTACCATCCCCGAGCACACAAAATTGGCTTCTAGTTGCCTCCTGATTCTGGTAAGTGAAATTTATGAACAGAAACCTACATAAAGTCTAAATACTGCCTAACCATAAAGTTTATGTCTGTTATTTAGAGTATATATAATCTTCCAAAAATTCTATCAGAGATGAAAAGGGTAAATAATGGAGTGCATCAGTTTCAAAGTTTAGTGAAGATCAGGAAGAATTACCTACAAGCAGGACAGCTTTGAAAGTTACAAGCTATACAAAAAAATACAACCATAGTTTTATGTACAGTGATCTTTTTCTGTTCTACTCTGTATATTTAAGTGCCTTTTTTACATGTCCAGAATTTAAAAAAAAAACTTTATGTAATTAATAATCATGGGCTGCAAATTAGGGGTTTAAAGTACATAATAAAGAACAGACAATACTAGAAAGTAGTTAGGTGATTATATTTATACATCCTGATTAGCAAGTTATCAGAAAAGCACCAGCTACTACATGAGATTTCTCTTTCCTTTTCCCTTGTCTCTCATCATACGTTATAATGGCAGGTACTCAACAACTCCAGTTTGGCAGCAAGTGAACAGAAATGAATGTGGATTGAATAGAGAATAAGAATGTGGCATCTGGTAGAAACATAGGTGGCTCTTTCATGTGCTATATCAACCAACAGATTGCTTTGAGCGTTCCACTGCTGATGCAGTTGCCCTCATATGTAACCTGCAGTTTTCTCAGTTTCCAAACTTTCTAAACATATGCAATTCTTTTTTTAAAAGTTCCCCAAAGACATTTTAGTCTGAATTATTTTGTGTCATAGATATAGAGCTTGAAGGGATCTTTGGGGCTATGTAGTACAACTACCTGATTTTACAGATGAGGAGACTGAGGGTAAAGTGACTTTCCCAAATACACACAAGAAGTAGCACAGCTGGGATTTAAACCCAGGCCTTTTACTCCAAATCTGGTATATTTTTAACTCTCACATTTAAGTCAATCGAGATTTTTTTAAGTGCTTACAACATTCTGGGCACTGGGACAGATGCTAGGGATATAAATACAAAAGATGAAACAATGCCTACCTGTAAGATGTTTACATAATTTTAAATTTATTTTGTTACATTTTAAGTTCCAAGCTGTCTCCCTTCCTTTCTCCACCCCTCCCCACTAGAGAAAGGCACCATTTTGCATAGATAAATAGCTAGACAGATAGATAAATAGGTAGGTAGGTAGGTAAAAACCATACTATGCATACTCCTATTTATAAGTTCTTTCTCTGAAGGTGGGTAGCATCTTCCTTCATAGGTCCTTTGTAGTTGATTTGAATATTTACAATACTCAGAGTAGCTTAGTAATTCATAGTTATTTTTCCAATATTGCTGTCACTGTATCCAACATTCTCTTGGTTCTGCTCATTGCATTCTTCATTATTTCATGCAAGTCTTTCCATGTTTTTCTAAAATCAACCTGCCCATCATTTCTACAGCATAAGGGTATTCCATCACAATCACATACCACAACTTATTCAGCCATTCACCAATTGATGGGCACACCCTTAATTTCCAAAGGTGTTTACGTTCTAACAGAGTTGTGCTTTCTAATACAACCCAAGTGACCTATTATAAGAACTATATCAAATAAAATTTTAAAATCTGTTCTTTTCCACTTATTGTGACCTGTCTAATAGAGTAGCTAGGGCCTAGAAGTGGCCATTCTTTTCTTAAACAACTATCCAAATGATCCACAAATGAAACCTTTCTATTAATTCCAACTCAGGTACATACCTATGAAGTGGTGTGCTGATGCATCACAAAAATAAAGATAAGTTACATGTTTGAAATAGCATTTCATTTGAACAAAATGAGTTTCACTGCCCTGGCTGTTCTGTGGAGGTTGAGAGTGAAAGAAGGTATTTAAGAATGTTATCTGTAGCACAGTGCATTGTAAAAAGCACTAAATTTGCAGACCAAATACCTCAGTTCCAGTCCTGGCTCTGCCACTTGTATGACCTTGAAGAAGTCACTTTACCTCTCTAGGCCTCAGTTTCCACATTTAGAAAATGAAAGGGTTACACTTGAGAGCTGTTATGGTGCCTTCTTGCTCCAAAGCTATTATCCCATGAGCATTCTCCAGGGCTATTTGACATTAGCAATGCACCTAGTCATTCTGATGTATCTTGCAGAAATCAGCCATTCTGATGAACAGGAAATTGTTGTTCATCAAACTTAAAGCCTACTCAGGAGCAGAATGTAAATACACCCAGTAACCCAAGAGACCAAGAGGGCTCATTTAATATGTCAGCCATTGATAATGGACCCCCAAACATTACACTGAATTCCGTGGCAATTAAGAAGTCAGGTGGTGATTGCAATCATGAATTTTTTAAAAGCTATTGAAGAGGAAAGAGTTGACCAGCAGCAGTTCAGTAATTTGGAGTAAGTTGGAATACGGCAATTTGAGAAGTAGTCCTAAGTCCCTTGATGTTAAGAGCATTCTGATTTATCACAAGATGAGTACCTCTGTATGAGTGGGAGTGCTACTTTGAACAATGGTGGGCAGGCAGTGCTTGCAATGTAGTGTTCTCAGAAAGCTGTTGCTAAGCGCTTTCCTATGAGAGAGGAGATTTGTTAGTCATCTTCCTTTTATGCAAATTGTGATGAATTATCAAGTATCTCAGGGCACCCTACTCTTTGAAGAGAACAGCATTGTTAATGTCAACTTAGAAATATGCCCAATGTGTTGCATGGCTAACTATGATTTAATCACTGATGAAAACTAAAAACAGTTTCCATAAGAACATAGAGTTTTAATTAGACAGCAAAAACTCAAGTGTGTCCATGGTTTGCCCATTTTTTCCCTTTAACTGGAAATTAATGAACAAAAAATGTATGCATACTAATTTTTTCACCAGTTAATATTTGCATGTCACTTATACTAATTGTGTAATTACTGTAGAAAGAAATAGGAAATTCTAGCACGCATAATGATTCGAGGAGTATGTTGTTCATATTTTAATATAGAATATTTAGCTAGTTAATCTGATTTCAAATTGAGTGTCTCTCCTGGGAATCATAAACAATCAAAACTTGAAAAGCAACATTTTGACTTTTATTTCCATTACAAGTAGAGAATTAAATTGGAAAAAAAAATAAACCACAAATAGTGATTTTCATTTTTTTTATAAGTAGATTTCTACCCTAGGCAGCATGAGGTAGTGGACAAAACTCTGGTTTGAGATCATATGACCTAGATTGAAATCTCAGCTCTGCTAGTTACCTCCTTGTTAATCTCTTTGTACTCCCACTAAATAATGTAAACTCCCTGGAAAAAGAGACTCTCAATTGTTTCCTCATTGTATCCTCAGGACCTAGCACAGGGCCTGGTATATAGTAGGCATTTAAATAGTTGTTAATTGATTGACTTCAGTTTCCTCATCTGGAGAACTACCATCAATGATCCCTAAGGTCCCCTCATTTTTTAAATTCTGTGTTTCTAAATAAACTTATTTTTTTGCAGTGCTGAAATATATTCCATGATTTATCTATAAATCTTCTTGAGCCATATTTTTATGCAAGTTAAACATGCACAAATCTGTAGAGTGGATCACTTTGTAGTTGAAATCCTGACCATCAGACACATCTCCCAAGCTCACTTTCTTCCACATCATGTCATTCACCTGGATATTTCTCTGACATTTTTTTTCTTTTTGGATGAGACCTGTGATTTATAGCTAAAGACAGCTTCTTGTGAGTAACTGCTTCCACCAATAGAGATAACCACAAGCTGTGCAATTTACAGTATTAGAGAGTCACTTGGGGTAATTGAGAGACTAAATTACTTTTTCAACTCGTATTGGTTATTTACCACTTCTCTGGACCCAGTTTGCCCTCACCTGTTGCCCAATGACTTCGAATAGCCTAAGTCTACCAGACTTTGCCAAATACTATAAATATTTCAACTTATCATCATATTCTACTTCCCACAAAAAACCCATTCCTCCTCTTATTCCTGACCAGTCTATTTCTCTTCTATTAAACCAAACGAGGCTATCAGTCAGACAAACACAAATTGGACAAAAAACATACCACATTCAATGACCATTTTCCACATTCCAAATCCTAGACTTGATGGATGTTTGCTTATTTGATTTTTTAATTATACGGCACAAAAGAGGTGGAGTTTCATTCCTTACATAATGTTTTCATATTCTTGATAGGTTGGTGAAAGTGACTTCCTTAGTGTATCAGCATGTGGTCTTGCCTTATTATGTACAGACATGCAGGATAATTGTGTAATTTTGATAATGTTAGTCTGGAAAATATTAGAAATCATCTTTGAAAATTACAATTTTTACAGCAATCTTAAACCCTTGGTCAAATTCTTCTAATTATGAGAGCTTTTCTCACATTCTAATCCAGCTAAATGGATTACATTGGCACACATTAAGTATGAAACATATGCTCTTTCTAACTACTTTCTATTTCCGGTGACTAATAAAACAGTTCTTGATGGGACTGATGACAGTTTTCATGGCTTTATCAACTGTTCTATCAAAGGTCTACATCTGTTGAGTAGAACATGGAGCTGAGAGAGCTCCAAAACTGACAGAGTTGATTATTGTGGCTTCCATCCAATGACTCAAAACTGTGAGCACAACATGACATGAAGTTGTGTATGGGAATTCCAAGGACAATGTGGAACTTAAGCTCCTTCCCTGCAGCTTATAGCCTCATGCCATATGCATTTCCTGGAGTTTGTTTCTCTCTTACTTAAAGTTGACCTTCCAAAAAAAGTACAATTGCCATCACCCAATGCAGACTCTTCTGTCAGCTTTCTCTCCAGAAGTGGTAATGTTTTGGTTACAAGATTTGCTACAAGTGTTGCTTACAACTCTTTTCATAAAAAGTTATTTACTTGGAGTAAATAGTAAAGGCCCAGTTTATCAGAGTATATTAATCCTGCACTATCCACAAACTTGGTCACAAGCACTCCAAATAAAAATTGACAGGGACTGCTGCAAGGAAACAAGATCTGGGTGACCTAGTAAATGAAGC